GTCGCTACACTGGTGATGTCCTAAGTGCTTTTTAGCCTAACTTAAATATGTTCAAAGTTTGTTTTCAGTTAGTACTACTGTAATATTTTGGTGATGATGTTGCTCTGACGTCTTCTCTCGCTTCTGGTTGCAAAAAACAAAGATGGAAATCACCTAAAAATGCTAACGTCAATGTAAATAACGTTTTGTAAGTATGTTTACATTGTGGTTTGGACTGCTTGCGAGATACGTTTCCATCCAACAACAGCTCACAAGTCATGACAATGTATATTTTCTGGCTGATTTGTTATTTAGCTTTCCAAATTAAGATGCTATAAAACATTTAGTGTCACATTTAGCATGCCCCTGTGCCATTTGTGTTTGGATTGCAAACGCTTATGTTTTGCTGTTGTTTGCAGTATTGTTTTTCCAATCAAGCTCACACAACAACAGAGGAGCTGAGCCAGACGAAAAATTGACAGAAACAAACCATTTCCTGCTATATGTCTTTCTCAGCCGTCCTATATATCTGACAACACTGTGTTACCATGACGTATAGGCAGCGTACACAAGCTGGCTTGGTTTAGTGGACAGAATAATAATGCATTTCTGAACAAAGCTTTTGGTCATATTGGTTGCGACTAGGCCACGGTGTACAGTAAGGAAGTCTGTGACATGCACGCCATTATTAAGGCCATCTGTCCCTCTTCTCTAAGCAGGACTGACACACTTTCATAATCATCCAGTGAAAGTGATAATGTGCCAGTAATTTTTGGCAACAACCCTGTCCCGGGGCAGGAGGTCTGAAAGTGATACCTCAGATGAGACGTTGGCATCAGCAGGCATTTGAACAAGCACACGTTTTTCATCTGTGTCCGTCCGTGCCAAACGTAGTCTCCAGGTGCTCTCCTTCATCCCTTTCTGCTCTGATTTGTTTTGAGGTTTTGTTTTGAACTAGACTCTCTGTGCGCTCCCCTGACGTGCCTTGCATTAGTCTGACACTGCGCTCTGATCGACAGGTGTAAGCTATGTGTTCTTTCTGTTCCACTGTGTTTGTGTGTTTTCTGCCCTGACACACAGATGACAGAGGGGTTTGTCAGTCTCAGTCATTCAGACTGATCTGTGCCGAAGACAGCCGAAAGCACATTACAGCGGGGTCGTGGTTTAACTCAGTGCCACAGCTGCTGAGACCACTGACTGTGTTTAAATTACGGTGGTCTGCCTGAACTGCTGAGGAGCAATATGGACTCAATAGCTTTGTTCACACATCCGCTTTGTTAGGAAAAACGCACACAAAACAAGCATCATGTTGGAGGTTTCTGTCAGCGGTTTGCTTGGGGTGAAAGACTACCACTTATTTTGAAATTGAATACGCCGCACATGTTGACATTTAAATACTTGCAAGTCTCAGCAAAGTAGACCTTTTTCCTTAGTTTAAAGTGGGTTTCTTTATTTCACTAAAAAGGGTTTTCCTTTCAGTTCCTCTTAGTGCCTATGGGCATGAAAATAAATTACTATTACTACCAAAAATCTTTTTTTGCAACATTAAGAAAATAAATCCAAGGGAACGTTTATTCTGAATTCACACAGGATGATATTTAGAATGTATTTTCATTCCACAGCCTAATTGTTAAAAGTCTTTCCTTCAAATAGGTTTGCTCTTTGATGCACATGTCTGTTTGAACTCACTTGTTAATGGCAGCAGATTGCTAACCACATGATGAAGGTTTTGGTGTCTGCTCTGCCCTTGAAGTCTGGGAAATTTCAAGCAACCTCAGGAGCATAAAGAATGAAGATTACATCACTGTAAAATACCTTTAAAGACCATAATATAGAAAGAGATGAGGCACTGGAAACTGTCAGTGGTGGGCAGTACAATCCACCACTGGGGATTTGAAGGTTTGAGATTCAGAAATGGCTTCGAGGAGGGAGAGACTCTGCAAGCAGCTGCTGATCTCAGTGGACAAGAGAGGGAGAGTGGGAAGAAATGATAGATAGATTCATGACAGAGAAACTGTGTGCTTAATGCCGCTGTAAGCAAAAACAAGGCTATCTATCAGAGAGAAACTGGGAAGCTTCAGGGAACCAGCGAGATGGGCCACACAATAGAGAGACAAAGCGGAGAACAGAAATAGAGATGCAATCAATGCAACTCATTTACACTGGGGTGAGATGAAGCACTGAGAAGATATAAAAAAAAAGAGAAATGCAAAAATCAAAGACTATAATTTTCACGGACAAAAGCTTGATTCAAACAATATTATTAGGCCAGATGAATTTTTTTAGAAAAGACCAGCATGAGGCTTCCTGCAATCACTTGATATCTTGAGAGACGAAACTGCAGCAAAATAAACTATGGCGGAGAGTTTGATTTTGTTTTAATGAGCATGACAAAGTAAGAGGAGAAAAGGAGAAAAGACTGGGTGCTGTTTAAGACAAAAGCAAGCAGACTTATAGTTGCACCAAACTAGGAGATATCTGTTGGTAACAGGTGGACATGTTGTGCAACTTGGATTTTTGATGCCATGGCTGAGTTTGTTTCTTCTCCCTGGGATGCTTGCCAATCCACACTTGTCAAAAGCAAAACAACAAATGACTAGTGTATCACCACTTCAATACAATTCAGTGTGAAAAGCAATTAAAACATAAAGATGCCAAGGTTTCCAGCTGATTCACGAAGCTGACTGACAGTTTAATGTGGTTAGTGGAAGACTGCATTTCTAAGGGAGAGTCTTTAAGTGTCCAATGAGAAAAAGTGATGAGAACAAACACAAAGAGGGACCTTGGATGAGAGCTGCACACATCCCTTCGGGCAAACAACCTGTTTGCTGTCATTGCTAAAAGATCTCGGAGGGATTTTACCTGAGGTGGCTGAGCTCTGCCTGAGCCAACCGATAGCGAGCACCATTCTAGGACATGAACTGTCTCCAGATACTAATTGGTGCCGAGAGTAGTGAGAAAAGCACAATGTATTCACAGAAGAGCGCAATCTGTAGCTGAAACAGATGGCTCCAAATGAGATAAGAGGTCTTTTACTTAACGCTAATAAAGCACATTTGTAGGGATAAATCCTGAATACTCTCAGCGTGAGACTTTTTTTTTTTCCTAATGTGTATGAATGTAACTGTATGATCAACAACACAATACAGCTGTTGTGTTAATTAAGATGTACTTCATTATGAACTAAATTATTAATGGAGCCGGCCAGACAGGCGGGCATAAGAGCAGCTCCGGCTTACGAATCAGCAGTCAATCCCAGCTTGGGGGGGAAAAAGGTGTAAAGAATGCATGAAGCGGTAGGTCAGGGAGAGAGGGAAGCTTTAGTTGGAGATTGTTTCAGGGGACTGAACAGGAAACCTGCTTTGTCCTGTTATTAAACTCTATTGACAGACAGCAGATCTACAGCAGAGGGATATTAATATTCACCTTCTCCTCTTATAGACATACAAGTCATATTGCACATCCAGAGGGATCTGATGCTGACAAATTATACAGTCAAGCCCATCAAGTGCCTGTAGGCTTTGCCTTTTTTGGGTAAATGAAATAGATTCTACAAATGCAAAAAAACAAGTAACCATAGCAACAGAATAACGGGAAGAGCCGTTACTCGTTCGGTGTCAGTCAGTCATTTTTGTAACTTCCCCAGAGCGTATTAGGCATGGGACCTGATGACTGATACGCTCATATTAACATCCTCTGACAAAAGGAGTGACAAGTCGGTCGAACAAAAGACATCGGGGGTGGGAAGAGGAGGCAGACTGGCAATTTTTGAGGGGGGAGCTGATTGCCACTAAGACTGCCATTTTGTGGGATCCAACAGAGACAGAAATAGACAAGTGAAAACAGTCATAGACAATGATTCCTCCAACAATTATGCTAAACCACACCCAGAGTCCCCGTTGTATGCTATCCAACCCTTCATTGGGGACTGTTAGGAGTGCTTCATTTTCAAAAACGAGTGTATCAATTACAGTAACACGCTGCGATCTGCTTTTCCATGAACTTTGTCCTAAACAATTTCACCAGCATCTCTCTGGCTGACTGATCTTTTGAACCTCCAGATGAGGTCTTGACCAACTTTTCTGTGATTGAACGGTCTGCTTGCTCGAGACAAAAAGGTCACCGCTAGGTCGATCAGCACCAAACTAATCAAAGACAAATTACTTTTTCCACTCTCCAACAACAAAGTCACTTAATGTTCCTTAGCAAATACATTTGACCGATCAAAATTTGTCATGAAAATCGCAAAAACTTCTTGAAATAATCTTAAAATGTTAGAATTATATCCAGAATTCACATCTTTCCTTAAAGAAAACGCAGCAAGAGGGTAATCAGCCTCCATTTGGGACAATTTGTGACAATGCTTGTTTAGTAATATGGGCCTTTGTAAATCTAAGCAGGATTAAGGGGGTAACTCCTGATTCTGTCTGCTATAACATATCTTAGGGATTGGTGAAATGTATTTCCAGAGATTGAGAGTGGTACTGAGAGCAGATGTACATAGCACTGCTGTTCATAGGCTGGAGTCACTGTAGCCTTGAGCTAAAAACACAGAGCGGCTAGATGTTCATAAAGCTTGATAAATCAAGCGAGGAGATGAGGCATTCAGCTCGAAGCATCCTTTATTCGGACGTAAGTAAGGAGGCAGGATATAGGCTACAGTCCCTCTGTTATGTGAAAAGAATGAAAATAATATAAACACAACGGAAATCCCTGTGGCCTCTCGCTGATATGAAAACAGATTAAATAAGGGTTATTGCAATCCATACGGGCTACGGGTCAGACACTAACCTGGGCACAGCCCACTCATAAATACCTCTACACACACACACACACACACACACACACACACACACACACAATGTGCATGCGGCATCTCACCACTACTCATGACACACAACTTTCATCTACCAGCCTCCGTTCCTCTGAGCACCCTCCTTCCTGACCAATGTGTAGTACAAACACCCACAGACCGTACACATCACCTCATGGATGTGCTAAGGCTCACACACACACATGAACACACACACACAGTTGGAGCCAGCTTGGTGTGCTCTAAGAAGTGAGCTTGTCTGAATCGAATTACCTCTCTCTCTCTCACTCTCTAGCTAACTCTCTCTCTCTCCCTCTGCCCTCACATGGTTTGCCGCCCACAGAAGGAGAAGGGCAGGCAGAGTCAGTCCCAATGCACTAAAGATTGGACTGCCTCAGAGCGTGTCCTGAGGACTAAAATACAAATCAGCCCTTCCTCCAGTCAGCTGGAGTTGGCCCTTTTCCCAGGGGCCTGCTGGGAAGGCCGTCTGTGGCATGAAAAAGAAAATAAAAGCATACAAAATTATTTTAAAAAGGACCCAACCGTCCTTTCGAGATGCAGCACCTTCTCAGAGATGTATTATTGGTCTAAAAATCATCCTGTTAAATGTTGTAGGAGCACATTGGGGCTTTCTCAGGGTGAGGGATATAATAAAGGAGTCGGAAACAGTCCAACATGTTAACTAACTCCTTCACTTACAGAAACATCTGGGGATTTCAGGTCACACAAAGGACAGAGCGGAAGAGGGAGCGACCAGAATTAATAGCCTTGCATTTCTCTTTGTGACAACCTCTCTCAGAAACAAGGATATGACTGTCTATAGAAACATGTGAAAGATAACATAAATGTGCCAACCATAGCCCCTGGCAACACTGAAGAGGCTGTCATTTCGATAATCTATTTAAGAAGAGTACTTCTATATGGAGAAGCAAACGATAAAAAGAAAACCATGATGGATTCTAAGTAAGAGGATAAATTAACCAATTGTTGTGTAAGGAAAATGTATCGTTCCATGACTCACTTGATGAAATGCCTCTAATTTAATCTGCTTGATTAAATAATGTAATTTGATTTAAGTGCTGGAAGAGTTGTTAGCTGGTGGAGTTAAAGTATCATATAATTCTGCTGTGTTTGATGTCCTCCCCCTAATGCAGTGATTTTCTTACTGTCACATCTGAGAGCAGCCATTGGTGCGCATTAGAAGCTTCTGTGTGACAGTCCAGGTAACACTTTATGACTTTTTCACATCTTTTTCACACCATCAACCTAATCTCTACCTCATCTACCACACCTGAGACTCAGTGCCTTGCTAAAGGGCAGCAGAGTGCATACACAGAGGGCTCCAGACCTCCCTCTGCAAACAAGCTCATAAAGGCCTGTATTGCATGTCAATATGTCAGTGCATCACGCTCCATCGCACCCACTAGACCTTTGGTGCCATTAAAGCGACTGTACCTATCACCTGACATGTGGACGCTCTTTAAGATGGACCTGGTTTCTACAGATGCTGCTCCTGCGTTTCGAGTGGGTGGACCGGTTTGCGCTTCATACCCATCTGACAGTCTATCCAAAGACGCAATAACGCATCAGCACCGAAAACCCACGCGTCCCGCCTCCCGGTAGAAAGCGCTTCATATCAGTTAACCCTTCAGGCACACTGCGTTATTACGCACTCATTAAAATGCACCCCCTCCTCCCCTCTCGTTTACGCATATGCCTTGTGGGCTGTCATGGGCTATTATTGGGATGTTTGGAATGCACACTCTTCTCTCGCCTACCGTTTATTCCCGACACAATTTCCGATGGAGGTGTTTGTGGTCCCGTGGAAAGAGGACGGCCAAGACATCCGAGACTTTTTCAGTCCTGGTCGGTCGCTCGTATCCACGGCGTCTGAGCGCTCCATGTGCCTGTGGTGATGGCGGTCGGCGTCGGAGTACCCCCGGTGTTTGATTTTGATGGGGGTCCGGGGTTGTCTCCAAAGATGCTGCGGAGGCTTCAGAGTCGCCTGTCCTTCCCGGGGAACCGGGAGCGACAGGGACAGGCTCTTCTTCGAGCACGGCGATGGTTCCATCATAGTGCAAAAAAAATATGAAAGATCCCCTTTAAAAGTTGTTTCTTAAATGATATGGCTGTATTCGTTTATTTCAAGCACAAAACAAAGCGTTTCATATCCCTCTCTGCCACTCGAACAAATCAAAGTGACCAAGTCCAGCACAGCCCAGATCTGAATTGTGTTTTCTGAATAACATCAAAAATTGTCACAGTGGTAATCTGGCAACTCAAAAATCGTTAATCTCATTGTTCTCAGTGGTGATCAGTTTTAATTTAGTAGACTCTCCCCTCTGCCGTGATCCTCACCAGTCCTGCGTTTTAGTGATGAGACACCGGTCCTGCTGCTTCCCCTGAAGTTTGACGCCTCGTCGCCCATGGCGCACAACCGGATGACTGTATTTATTTTAGAGAGTTTATTGCTTTTTATCAGCCACTTATTGCAGAGACACACAGATCGCCGGCGCTGGCTTATGTGTGTGGTATTATTGCTGCCCGTACGTCTCTCAGAAATGTCCAAGCAATTTCCATAAAAGTACTCAATCTATCACGGCTAGTGTAGAACTACGGCATCTCGGAGCGCGCGTACACCGCAGACGTCTCCAGTAATTCCTCCATGGAGATGTTAGATCCAGTGATTTCAAAAAGATGCCACACTGCACTCAAAAAACATCCTTCCTCAATACCTCAGGATGGTATGAAGAATGGGTTGAAAAAACAGATGCGATCATTTGTTCCTTTCTGTCCACTCTCTTCTCCAGGCTTAGTTTTGTCAGAATGCATCATAAAATGACACAAATTGATCATTTCGGAGGTTCAGCCATCCTGTTCAGTGTGGGCCATTATCTTCCCATCCTCATATTTGCTGGAGTTCGACGACAAACATTGGCTTCACCACAAAGCTCCCTCTCCCTCTCCCTCTCTACCTCCCTCTCTCCCTCTCCCTCTCTCAGTCCAGTATATCTCTATGGTGGTTGGATGGTTGTTCTCCTCAGTGATTTGTCAGCACTGGAGGGTTTTGAACCTTTTATGTGCTCATCCATTATGTTTTGCCCATGCACGCATTCACTGCGCATTTCCTTGACAGAAAACAAACACAGCAAATTGCTCAAATGATGATGGCAGCTGGGAACAAGGCTTACAAGATCAGGCATCTTAAAATGCCACTGTTAGTCATTTGACCTATTTCTAGCTGAAAATTGTCCCTATTACTTAGCTTCTTCCTGATTGAGGAGTACACTGACACCTCCCAGTACCTCCCCCAATATTTCCTTTCGGCTGGTATTTTTAGATAAAGAACAGTATTAAACTCTATCCTGTTTTGGAGCTGGGCAGGGCACTCAGACTGTAAGATGAAAGTTCCTATTCCCATCAGGGACACCGCAGCTAATGGCACTAAGGAACATTTTGGATGAAAGTATCTGACTGTAGTGACATTTGTGACAATGAGCTGACCTCTGTCAGGCTGGGATCAATGTGTGCATGCGATTCAATTTATTGCCAAATCAGGTGCTAGTTGTGTTGACTAAGAGTAGAGGGAACATGCTTTTATTATATGTGGATGGTACTCTTTCTCTTTAGTGATTGAGAGTATTTAACCTACGTTGAATAATCAAACTCAGAAGTACTTAATTTATTTATATATGTCATAGTCAATGTTTACATTTACCACGTTCAGCTTCGTTGTTCTTGTTCTTAGCTGTTATGTCTATTTATGTGGAATAACATTGAGAATATAAAAGAAATTATTTTATTTGCAAACTTGCTTGGCCAATAAGGTTGATTCTGATAATGGATGTGGATCATCTGAGTTAAACTCAATCAAGTTGCATCTGCAGTCAGGCAGGCTTTAGCTGACATTAAGGTGAGTCTTTAGTGTCTGCAGAATTTTCAACCTTTTGTCCAAATTGCTTTGGAGGAGTTTGTATAGCTGACACGTGTGATGAATACGAGCGTGCCCAGATCCGGGAACATATATTATTCCTGATTTGCCATTTTTAGATGGAATGCTATATTTCTCCAGATGGAGTTTAGGTTTCTGTGTACTATACGTGGGAACATCACATAAATAATGTACCCGTGGTTATGAGAAGGAGCGTATCAGACTGGCTGTGAAGAACATGGCTGTAAAACAGTTCTTGAGGCCCTCAATGTTGAGTCACAGCTGTTGAGCACTTAGAGAAGATAAGCTCACATTTCCAATTGGTGAACAGCCCACCGGGAATCAGCATGAGTTGACTCATGACAGCCTCAGCTGACCTGGAAGTGCCTTCAGATTTCCAGAGAGGAGCTGGAGTCGGCTACTGGGAAACGAGAAATCTGGACGGCTCTGCTTGCTGCCGCTGGTGACCCAGACACAGATAAGGAGCTAAAAAATAGACAGCGGATGTTTGGATGGACTAACAACTTTTCAATGCTGCTGCTTTTGTTTTCCTGCCAGCACAGTTTGAATGCTCTCAGGAGTGATGTCTGAACAGCATCATTGGTGACACTGACAGCTGTAAACTGATTAATTGAACATCTTGGTGCCATAAATGCTTAAAAAAAAAACTATTTACAGACACGCTAAATTAGATTTCATTTAGCTGATGCCTTTATCCAAAGTGACTTACAATAAGTGCAATCAACCATGAAGATACAAACTCAGAACAGCGAACCAATCCTTTAAGTAAAAGCTTTCAATAAGCCGAACCATTAGCATTGGCTTAAAATAGTCCAGGAAAGTGTCATAAACCAAAAGGAAATGGTTATTTACTTTGATAAAGCCATAGTGAGGCTGTGGAGAGTCTTGGTGAAGATCTGCTACAACGCCGCCCACTGGCTCCATCCGAGGCTGGCTGGCTGAACTACAGCGCAGCAGACCCGACCTCAGGCCTCACACCTCAGGCGAGTCGAGCTCATTAGCCGGGGGCCGCCGGAGACAACCGTCTGCTGCCCTTCATGTGTAGTGTGTGTGCAGCAGGACAAAAGCAGTGTCATGGGAAGCAGTGGTGCCACTTACAATTAACTAAAAGTCCACTTTTTCCCTGGGGTCCTCTGAAAGCTTTCCTCCATTTCCCTCGTGCCTGGGCTCTGAACGATTGAAACAGAAGGAAAGAACGTGAACAGAAAGAAATGTAGGGCATAGTAATACGAAGAGATTTCCTACATGTCCAAATATTCCTGTATTCTGACAATAAATCAACATGTTCTTCATGCCAACCCTCACATGCCTTATGGTTTCATGAAGAATATGCATAACCATAAACAGACAAGTGGTCCAAACCAACAGCTTTTGTTTTCTGGTGAGCTTCACAGCTTCACAGAGCAGAGAGCGTGGTTATAGATTTGTAGTCCAATTTCCGTCTATACTGTAATTACTTCTGTCACACATAGACTGGAACTGTAAAAAGTGGTTTTCCTTTTGTCCACACGCTGTTTTCTGCCTCACCCTAAATTCAATCTTTAGTTTATTCCGTGCTCATTTCCAGCTGCATAGCAAGCTAGACAGAAATAAAAACACAGTGTGTTTACAGTCTGTTTGAGGAGAAGAATTATTGCTTTGAGCTTTGATTTTACATGCATACTGTGTAGTGCAAGACATTAACAAAAAAATGCAATTGTATGAAGGTATTGGGTTTAAAACTGCTTCAGAAGAAGTGATACTGTATGAAACTAGCATCAACAGATGTTCTGTGTGTTTTACCTAAATGTGGTGGGTTTAGGCTTATATAGCCTGTATGGGTAATAATGTGAAAATGTTGTTTTTGAACCCTATAAAAACTAAGCATAAGTGGATTTTCCAGAGCTGACACTGTTTGATAAATTAAGCACTGAAACGTAGTTAGTCATCCGGAATGAACGCAATCCTTGCTCTTGATATAATGGACATAACATAATTTACACATACACGGTGTTACTGGATCACGAAATGCACTCACACAATTCAAAGCTATTTGAACTACTTTAGAAATGTTGTGGTAACCTTCAGAGAAAAGCAACAGCAGAAGCATTTTAACTGGAGGCGAGCTGCAGAAGGTTGGAGTAGGCACGTACAGAAGCATTGCAGTAGTTCAGCCACAACACTAAGGCATTCATCATGTTGTCTGCTTCTTTAAAAGCCAAGGTCTAATTTTAGAAGTGTGATCTCTGCTGAAATGTAAAGAAAAGGCACAGTTTAACATGCTTCTTTGCTTTTCGCATTTATCAAAAATAAGACGAGTCGAAAATGTTAGGTTTTGTGAGTGGCTCAATGCTTAAAATCTGTCGGTTTGATATTATCATAACTTTAACCTTCATTGCACGTTTCTTTAGAACAAAAAGAAGCACGTAAAATGTAATCATAAAGACCCCTTTCTTTTCACATTTCACACAACTGTCATATGTGATTTAGAATGAAAAGAATCTTGAATATATTGACCTTGAAGCATTGAATGACGCTGGGGACTTTACTTCCTTGTTATTCAGAACAAATCTGCAATTTAATTTCAACTTTAAATGATTATTTTCTCCCAGGGCAGCTGTTCCAAAGTATTCAATATTGTCTCCTTGAGAGACAATGTTAAAGTGCAGTACATGTCCTTAGAAAATGAAAAGGGGAAAATGAAAAAGCTGTCTGTATCTGGACGCAGAGAGAATAGGTGGAAATAACTTTAATTTCCTATTTAAAGCCGATGACCATACAACTATGGTGTTTTATTTAAAGGCTGCTTTGAGTCTAGAAATGGTTCATAAAAATGCTAAATGAGCAACTCCAAGCTGCTTATCAGAATCACAGATTAGACTATTGTTACACTGGGAAACACTTTTAAAAAAGAAATACTTTTTTTACTATTTTTCAATTGAATTGAATCGTGCTGCAAGGAATTTCTCTCTGAAGGACAATTAGAATGATTTAACCAACATTTAAAATACGATTCAGATGCTTCATCAGAATAGGAATGAGCAAGCAAAGACTCCAGGAGTCTGTAACTGCTGCATGCTAACAAGGAGAACTCACTTGCGTTCATTTCATCTCAAAAGCCTTGACCAAAAACGTAGGAAAGAAATGCCCAAACACAGTGAGGTATTTTATTAATTACCCTGGATTTTGGTCTCATGGCTCTCATATGCGCGAAACCTTGACCAACAAGTATGCAGATCGGAATGTGACATGGGTAATGTTTTTGTGGAAGGAACATTTCTAACCAGCTCCTTGTGCAATAATTCAGTAACACCAGCATCAGTATCTGTATCTTATATGTGACTATAGAATGATATTAAAGGGAAAATTGTTAATATGTTGTACTCTGTCGTTAAAGTACTCTTTGACGACATAGACAATGGACCTTATGTAAACTCATCATTTCTAAATGTATTCTTATGATAATTCCCCAGATAAAGAACGTATGATGGGGTATGGGCGAACAATCTTTCCTCGTGCTTGAGTCAGCTTCACACTTCATTGAGTGAGCATCTGATTTATTACCATCAACCTGGCCAAATAGATCTCTGCATTATACATTCATATTGTGAAAAATAATTGAAATGACAAGCAGTCTTGCTAGCTCAGTGCATGTGGATAGGAGGGTCATGCAGGCCATGGTGAAGTACAGCGTGTAATGCATTCGTGCCGTTTTATTTTAATGTTGGTGAGTGTGTACGGTGGAGATGTAGCTTAAACTGAACATGTAAATAATGTCTCTAGCTTACAGATATTCACAGAAGGCAGCAGATTTTGCATATCGAGCCGAAGGACCATCAGCAGCCTGTCTGGCCTCTGGCCCACACTGAGTCTACACATCGGGCATTAGGGAATGCTGGGAATTAAATCCACTTTCTACCAGTGGAGGGCCATGAAATATTAATTCACACCTCTTTCCTGACTGTGTGCAATAGTCTGGCAGCTACTCTGTATGTGTGTCTACATGCGTGTAAACACACATGTAGGACAATGAAAAGTAGATTGAAAGTCCTTAAATGTAGGTATGTGTGAGAGAGGAGGAAGTATAGGCATGCTTAGACGTGGTTGCAGTAATATGTAACAGTGATTCAGCAAGCTAGTGGGTCATTTATATTAGGTGTGATAAAGGATTCCTAAAATAACTTCAGATTGTCTTTTTCTTTTCCTGTGGAGGTGCAGCGGTGTGGGCGTAATGTCCTCATGTCCACACTGTGTGCATGTGCGTTAACACAAATCCTACACACACTGAACAACACAATCATTCAGAAGTGATTCTGTGTGCTCTCAAGCAGCACGAGCGTGCCACCACTTTTCGCCTAATTTTCTCTTAAGTAATGTTTTCTTTTTCCAAACCAATCAGATCTTTCTGAAATGTGTCTTGAGTAGAAGGCCGAGGAGCAGTTCGATCGGAAATGTTGCAACAGGGAGGCAAGGTTTCACTTTATGGACGAGATGAGGACCAGGGAGGCTTTAAATGATTTGATAACTAGATTTGAAAGCTTCTTAAAACGTACTAATGATGTTGCGGAGCTATAATGGCTACTGGAGATGAGAATCAAGTGTCAGAAAGACCACAATGTTGAGTTCCCACAATGCACTTTAATGGGCCCTGGTGATATGTTATTTGTGAGACAGGGGGGCACAATGGAAGTGGAAGACCAGAACAAAACGACTTAAAGTGTCCATCATGCATAACTACAACCACATTAATTATGCATGTTTGAAAATCTAATCGAATAATTGTAATGTTATATGAAAAGTATAATCTGTCTTTAACAACTGGCCAGTCAAACCGCATCAGCACTTTCATTTGATCGTTGTGTCTGTCATCATAATTAAAGACCCTTCAGTCAATGTGTGGGTGATGGCAGGTTTCAGTTTACATTTGGATTATATATTGTGCCTTTAAGACATAAAAATGAAAGCATAAACATTTGTTGTTGATCCACAATGAATAACCTTCTTACATTTAATTATTAGATCAAAGACCGAGAGAAAGATAAATGCAGGCTTCAGGGATAACGTGTTCTTACAATATGGTTTAATTAAATTATAATCATGTAAGAGACAAGTGGCAGGAAGGAAATAAGAGAGGCATGAGAGTTGTGCTCAAAAAGTGCAGGCTATTAATGATAAAGGATCGGATTCTGGACAGGAGATATGATTCAACAGGGGAGAGGAGGACGAGAGAAGATTCTTAATGAGATGAGATTAGGTTTTTGGGTGTGGTAGAAAGATTAAAAAACTCTATACATTACCTTGCTACTGCTTCACTTTGAATGAAACTCTCAGCCTGATGCTTTAACCAGGTCCATAACACTGCTACAGTCAATGTCTGATGCTAGGGAAATTAAATAATCTAAATTGAATGTAAGCATATCTATCCAGAAAATGAGAATGACTGTATGTATAACGTTTGTTTTCTCAGTGCATCAGAACACTGTGCTGGGAAACATAGCTTTTGTTTTCCCACAAATGGTTATCTTATATTATACACTGATACTATTACACAGGGGATCGACTGGAAGAGATGAAAATGAAGAGTGTAACAATAGCCAAGCTTATTTCAGGGGGATAAGGGTACATGTTCTGGCTTGGAATTGAATTCCCTACTATAATATAATCTTGTTTGGCTGTAAGCACGAGCACCGTTCAAACTGAGTGACTTTCACCCTCGCCTGAATTTAGCAAAAGACAGCTCTCTCCTGTGCTGTGGAGATGCTTCACTGTTTTATAGACTGTTTGTCACAGGGGGAGTGGGCTGCTTTCTATGACTAATCTTGCTATAAACAGCACTTGTGACATACCCTTTTTGGTTACTCTTTCTTGCTCGTATATCGAATAAAGCAGTACTAAATCACTGCAGATGTGAATTTAATTTTATAAAAGTAGCTTACAGTGGATCTGTTTCTTCCCGTCTACATTCAAACACATGGCAGTAAAGGTAAGGTCAGTTACATTTTCAACACACACAGAAAGCTCCAGAAATAAAACTTCCCCTTGATTGTGTGTGGTGGGTGATAAATGATGCTGCAGTGATCTGCCGTCAGAGCTCTCCCTCTCTGTATTTGGGAAAATCGCATGTTTCTGCAGCATTCACCAGCAACTGTGCAGGGTGACTGTGTGGGTGGAAATCATGAAAGGCAGAAATCTAAATGTGTCTGACACAGCGTCCGCCGAGCCTCGGTGAATCCCTCTGAGAACTCTGGGTAGACTGGCTGGAGGTATGAGAACATAATTCAAGGGTGCTTGAAGAATTACAGACAAATATTACAGAAATATACCCAATGACAGGGAAAGCCCCATTAATATAGTGCCAGCAGGTCTCAAAAACAACCCAGCATGTCTTCACTACGTTCTCATTTCCATTTTTCTTTAAATATTAATGATAGTTATTTGTTGGGCATCACAACAGTCAAAAAAGGTTGCTGGCTGAGAAATGTCCAAAACAATATCCAATGGTCAAGAAAAGGCAGTCTCTTATGAGAAATGTACTGCAGCTGTGTTCATGCCCATCAGGGGAAAGCTCCATCAGCTCAGGGCTCAGCAGGTCGACATGAATAACGAATAATAAAAACCCTTCATCCTGATGAGTGCTGAGAGGAAGAGGAGCTCTTCTCCCTGCCTCCTGCCCCCTAGCCCCTCTGTGTGAAGGGTGAGGGAAGGCGATGCAAAGGGCCAATCACCCGAGCAGACCACTTTAAGCTCAGTTTGACATGCCATTACCTTCAGAGTCTGCTCAACAGAAAATACTGGGCTTATGAGAACATAGCTGAATTATTTCACGTTTAATACATTTGAATATCATCAGTACTAGCCTTATATGGGAATAGTACTTCACTTCTCCCTATGATATATTTGCTTGTTTGCATTTCTTGAGCAGCCTGTTATCAGCAGTTATGGCTGACTGGCTGAGGCTGTTGTTCAATTATTCATTCAGGGAGCACAATGCATCCTCTCAGCAATAACTTGTTTACCATTCATACAGGTCACATTCACAGCATTAACGCTCTGATGGAGGCAGAGGGCGTCTGCCTGGTGACATGTAACCTAAGAACGCAGGAAAGTCAAAGGCTATTATTGGGTTGTTACAAGGTTATTGTGCATTATGTACATCATGAAACACTAACAACTGTTAATTTATTTTCACATATTGGGAAACAAAATGAGTTTCCAATTACATTTACAAGATGTTTTGAAGCTTCCCTTTTGTTTACTTCATGCTGTTCCTCAACATCTGTCTGCAATGTTGTAGACGCATTAGTTTTACAGTTGGTTGCCAATCCAATAAAGCAAAACATCCGGCTGTGCATGCGTTCATTGTTGAATGAGAGGAGGCATATCAGTTCTGGTTCATTACTCACATAATCAGCTAAATGATGAATACGATAACCACTGTGCGCCGCTTTGTGCAGCTCAAAATACTTTGGTTGGCCTGTAAATGGTTGTTCAACTCAAATGTTTTGTTATTTTCATGCCAGAACCCCTACTGAAGGATGACATTATTAAATAATAATGGGACCAAATGCAATTTGCATTAACCAGCAATAAACCCCATGTGGAGATTTTTTTTCTTTAACTTTTGATAGTAAGTCTCAAATTATGTAAATCTGTTCAGGGTCACTCAAAATCAATTTGGATCCCTCTGAACTTCATTTGGAAATGAAGACTCCAAAAATGAGCCTCCTAAAGGCAGTTGTGCATCAAGAGGAAATTATGTTTTTGTGTTAAACCAAAAACAAGGGCATGTCCCAAAGAACAAGTCAAACTTTTTGGGATAAAGTACAAAGATATGTTAACCCTAAAAAGAAGATTATAATGTAGCTACAAGCTGCAGTAAAGCTCAAGCAAAAAATGAAACGACAACATTATAAGTTTAAATAACATTTACTTGCTCACATCACACACATAGAGACAACAATGGCGGTACAGATGAGAAGATGGTAGAATCAAAATAAATGATCACACAGTACGGCTGCATCTCTTGGTCCATACACAACATGGGCGGCCTGCTGTGGCGCCACTCAGCTGTCCCACATACAGCCAAACAACAAAAACAGGAGGAGCAGCAAATTCATTCAAAACACCAGACCAGAGGCAGGTATGATTTAAGAAAAACAAAAGTTTTGGACTCTGGAAAAGTATCAAGCTTAACTATTTACACAGCAAAAAACACAGAAATGGTAAGATGTAAGCCAACACAGGGCAGGATGATGTCACAGAAAACACTGTTAAGGCTCAAGTGTAGCTGCATTTCCTAGCAGAAGTCAGAGGTAATGGGGTTTTCACAATCAAACTGTCAACCAGATAGATTAAAAAAAAGAGAAAAAAGAAAAACACAGACAGCCATGTCACTGACCAATCACCTGCCACCAGCTTCCATTAGTACATGTTAAAACTCAAAAAGAGATGGCACATGTCCACCGGCCAATCAACTCAACCAGAAGTGTGGCGTTTGGACTTTATAAACCAGAACTCATACAAACACAGAAAACATTTAACTCCCGGACATACGGGTGAGAGAAGACTTAAGAATGGCATCTTATAGCGGTGAGAACAGATAGGATTGTGACCTCCAAGTGCATCACTCAACCAGTGTAGAGAACAGACTCCGTAAACAAGTTGGAGGGTGTGAATCAAAGGACAAACAACGTGGAAAAGATTAGGCTTGAGAAAATATGCCAGAAGGGTAAAAAGCTTCAGTGTCATTATACACAGGCTGCTACATACAGCTGTCATTGGTGGATGGAGAGCTGCATGTTAACCAATGAAATAAGGCCTGGATCCAGAAAGAGTTATAAAGCAAAATATACAACCCTGTGAAAAGAGAAAAAAGAAAGAACACCATCTCTATAAACAAACTAATGAACGTTTTACATGGAATTAGGAAGGCTGTTTAAAAAGAAAAAGTAAAACTTTTGAATTAAAGCTTGTTTTTAAATACGACGAAGTCCCTTTACGGAAATTGTGGACAGCCTCACTTTACATTGTGAAAAGCAGCCTCTGGCCGCCATTGAAAGCTGGCCAAACTATCAGTAGCTCTGCTGATACGGCACACTCACAGGAATAAAAATGATCAAGAGAAAATACTTCCATTTCCTGGTTAACCTTCTTTTTTTTTTCTTCACTGTACACGTTTTTCAAAAGGAAATTAAAGGTCAAATTAAAAAAATAAGGAAAAAAGTAAAAACTTAAAATTTACCAACACACTAAAAGCATATATACACAACAGAAAAAAATACAACCACCAAGAATTCCAATGAAGTGACACAACTGTCCAGATAGCAACAGGCTGCACTCCCCGACCCTCCAGGGGTCCCTCAGGAGTACAGAGACAAATCCAAGGACCACCACGCTATAAAGTTCACCAAAAGAGAGCGGAGGAGATGCCATTGTGTCCTGGCTGCTGATTGGCTACTCCTACAGCAAGAAGCATTCAGCTGTACCTAAAATATACGCTTTCGCTTCAGGTAGGAGTCTGCATAGTGGCCCCCAAGGCCCTGAGAGTGCTGGCCCACGTAGCCCCCCTCAGGGCTCGGCTCCGGAGATGGGATCAGCCGGGAGAACACACGCTTGTGGCCACCAATAGGAGTCTAGAATTTGTATATATAAAAAAAAAAAAACATAAAATCAATAAAGAGCAGATGGGCTTAAAAGTAAAATATTTTTACAAAAAGTTAAGACTCATAACGCTTCGACAAGAAGGTTTAAATATGACCTTGGCAGCATTGCTCAGGCCTGGGGGGAAGTCTGTGGCGTGGCTCGCAGGAGGCATTCCCACAGCCTGAGGACAAACAAGCAGCCTTCAGTGGACTACACTTCTACCGAGGCTCATGCACTCAGCCTCACATTCATTATTGATCATGGGATTATTCTTCGAAAACATTTCCAAAAAGAAAAGAGGACAGTCAGAAGCTTCAGGCTTACCCTGTTGAGATGGGGGGTTGGAAGGTTTCCGTCCTCCGGCCCCGAGCTGTAGTAGGGGGACATGGGTTCACTGGGAGGGTAACTGTAGGGGGGGAACCGCTCACTGTAGTCAGGGTGACGGGGAAGCTGCAGAAACAAAGTGTGTTAGAGTTGGGCAGTAAGCATGTCATCAAATAACCAGGGGGAAACAATTCCACCGTTTGGGCCAGACGTTACACTTTTGTGAGAGGTGGCAGGGGAGTAACTCAATTAAAAAAGAGGCAATGTATCGGTTTTATTGTATAAACCAACACTTCAAGAACTATTAGTTAAAATGGCTTATTGATTTGTTAAATAAGACGACAAATATATATTTCTAACAGTTGACTTTGACTGCAAGTAAGCATATAATACATTTTCATCCTGAGATTTGGTTTTGAGTTAAGAACAGTTAAACCCCCTTATAATCCAATTCAAATACTGCGGTCTTGAAATGTTTGACAAAACCCTACCTGCTGACCAAATCCAGCCAAAGCTCCAGTATCAAGGTTCTCCTGCTGTTCATACAGGTGGGCCAGAGGATCCTGAGGAGAAACACCAGATCACATACAGCACAGTGAACGAGCAGCCATGCAATAAACCCTAAATTCATAAGGTCACAATGACATCTTTTCATGGAACAAGTCTTTCAACGCTGGTTACCTGGTGGAGAGGAGGGTACTCGGGGCTGTAGGAGTCCTGGTAGCGCAGGTTGTAATTTGGCTGTAAGCTCTGATGTGTGTGATGGTTGGACACATTACTTAGAGTGGGTCTTTTCCTATAGGGGTGAGGTCTGCAGCTTTCTACTGGAGTAACAAAGTGCAAACAGACATTACACAGTATGCTGGAACATGTTTTTCTATTTATTAAGCTGTAGGAAAATTAGAACTACACAGTAGTTAAAAACAAAAAGGAAATTACCTGAGGGAAAACCACTATTGACACCGAGGAAGGCACTCTGGGGATGGTTCACATCTTTTGGAGGGTCTCCCAGTATAGATACCTTACCGGAGGGGAAAATGGCTTTTTATTATTCTGTTATTCACATTTGGGCACAACGCTAGACACAAATACAAGAGGTAGAATACATTATGGAAATTGCTTGGGACCTCACCCCTTGTGCTGTGAGGCCATCTGCTCCCATCATGCCACGCATGGAGATGCCCTGCAGGGTGGGAGAGGAAGTCTGGGGGAAGGTGCACGTTGCTGTGGGGGACTCCTGCTCCCTTGCCAGGGATCTGCCATGTTGCATTGACTTCAGGGGGCCCATAGGATCCGTTTGAAGACCAAGACCTAAAAAATAGATTATTGAATTTATAATAAGTGTGATCTGTATATTTTTTAAATGTTAACATGCATGCCGTCTTGAATTGTGAGCAAAATGTAATAAGCAATTTTTTAAAAAAAGGGGAGAAACTATTATTTACAAGCCCGGGGGGATACAGATGTTAAGCATCATATGCGAAGAAGAAAAAAAATAACATGCGGCTGGAGTCGAGGAATGTCAAACCTTGGGGTAGGTCTCCGAGCAGATGGACTCCCTGCTGGACAGGCAGAGCAGCCAGAGGATTCTCCCCGATGAGTCCTGCCTGCTGGCCAAAGGAGAGAGAGCAAAGGTCCGTGTCACAGCCTGGCTGCAACACTCGAGCGGGGGAGAACCGCTGCACTACACCAGCACACCTATTCAACACTGAGTCTTACTCACCACGTATGAAATGATGTCCTTGCAGAGTGGCTATTTACACATTTTGTGCACACCAACCAGATCACTCAAAAGACCACACACACACACACACACACACACACACACACATCTTTGTTTGTTGTTGTTGTGTTTGTTGTTGTTGTGAAAGCATCAGTCTGGAGGATAATCTGTTTTAATGCGCAGACTTCCTCACAAACAGATCAGTTTCACGGCAGCAGACAGAGGATTAACTCTCATTGGTTTACACACAGGAGACTGGTCACATGTTGATGTCAATACAAAACAATAAAATAAAATAAATAAATAGAGCTTTGACTATATATGAATTAATAATACATAAATAGAGCGTTGAATTAATTATTAGTTCCTTCATTATTTCATTTAATAATAAACAAATAAAATAATAATGAATAATTAAAATCCTCCATAAAAAAGACTAAAGCCAGTAGAGCTGTGGGAACGTGCTGAAATAAATAAAACACACTAACAGGTGTCGACAACGTGCGATAAATCAACGCTGGACTCCACCCGGGGATTCATTAAAGTGAGGCACCCCTGCTGATCAAATCAGACGCTACTCATCAGATTAAAGATAAGCTTTCATTAAAGGTTTTATCACTTAATTATCACACTACCTTTAACACCACAGCAGAGGCCTATACTACGAAGCAGGATGTTCTCTTAGCGGCTAACTTCAGGTTAACTCTGGGTTTCCGGTCCTAAGAAGCTGGTTCTCTTTTTAGCAGGCTAGATCTCCATGGTAACTGATGCTGAGCGGCTAACCTGGTCCGGAGCAGGTTAGGTTGCAGCCTAAGAGCTCAACTCAGTGAAAGCACTGCCTGCTGACCAATCAGAGCTCAGTGTGCGGAGTTTAAAGCACTGAGTTGAGCTCTTAGGCTGCAACCTAACCTGCTCCGGACCAGGTTAGNCGGGGGGAGCCTCGCTGCGGGGAAACGGTGGACCTAGTGTCCCGATCGGAGTGGGAATAACAATATTAATAATATTCCGTGCATTTTATCCATTAATTTCCCCAACATTGTGGTAAAAAAAACCACACGTTTAATCCATGTTGGTGTACTACAACTACAAAAAGCATCGGTTTGTTTTTTCATCAGGAAATGCAGACCGGCTCAAACAAACGATTTTTAAATCATCATCCTCACGATCATTTAATGTATCATATGTTCGCCGAATTGACATGAAAGCACTAATAAATGTAGTTTCATCCACTTGAGTTTACAACTACAAAAATAATCGATTTTGTTTTTATATCACATCCGACGGGAGGAAATTCAGCAGCTCTCACTACCGATTTTTAATCCTAATTTAATCATCATCTTCACCACGATCATTTATGTTTATGTTCGCCGAATTGACATGAAAGCACTGACAAATATGAATATACTGTAGTCAACTTCATTAAAACGTTATTAACGTGCCTAAACTCAGTAATTCATCATTTCTACGCATGACAACACACTTTATCCGTGTTTGGCTCTCTCGCCGCACAGTGAAGCGTTCCCGCATTGACGTCACTTCCGGGTTCCCCCAAAACTTCAAAATGAGTCGAAGGAATTTTCCCGCGATGTTCGAAATTATTGATATTTATCGGAACGGTATCGCTTTTTCTTTTTTAAACTGACGGTTCGAGATTACTAGTAGCCCACTATTTCATTGCACAACAGTTGTTGGGTTCGTGTCACAGGCTCTTTAAAGTAATTTTGAGCTTAATAATTGAGTATTTGTCTACTTGAGTATTGCTACTTTCACACATAAGAATGGTATACAATAGGAGTTGTATTTCCACCCGTTTGCTGCATACTTTGTTATATCTAAGAAGTTATACAAGTCAATGTATACCTACACATTTCATCGCTTTAATTCTCGACATTTTATTTTGAAAAGTCATGTATACGTGCATCCGCCTGCCTGGTGGAGGGAGTGACCATATTGCGTTGATGCGTTCAGGAACCAGCGGTCTGCCGAGTCGACACTTCGCAGTTCACCAGAAACTTGTGTGGGCGAAGGGGAAATACGCACAGAAGATAATGAAGCCCGGCTGTCCCTTCTTCTCTTCTTTGGCTTTGAAGTAAGTCTGTGAAAAGTTCGCCGTTCAATGGTAAGATACTTATTTTTTAGACCGGTTGTTTAGCTTTATGTCTCCAATAATGTTTACATATTTCCTGGTCATAGATGTCGGATACACCGTGAAATGTTTCAGGACGCGTGATTATGAGCCACCTAATGACGCAATCTGTTATATATAATATGTATTCATATTAAAACAAAATAACTTGTAGACCTGTTATGGTGCTGTACAGTGTTGTGTGATGTAGACAAGTTACACGAGTAATATTTCCTCGGTAGGCCCAGTGACACATTTCCTGACAACATATTCTAAGAAGTTATTTCTACATGTTGTGTCATTTGGGAAGAGCATTTTAGTTTTAAATTCGTTTTTCAGTTGGAAACGAAAAATAGAGAAAAGCGCAAGGTTGATATTTCCAAACACCTGCATGGCCTGCAGTTCTGCTGCAACTCTTTTACTACTTTTAAATCCAGGCTGAAGATTGTTCTTTTTTTCGTTGCTCTCATATCTTACACTGCACTTGAAACATTTATTCATGTATTTTATATTTTAGCTTGTTTTATGTTTATTTTATTACATTAGCTTTTGAATTACTGTTTTTAAAAATTCCATTTTGTAATGTGTTTCTGCTGCACTATTTCTTAATGCTCTTAATGTTTTTCATTGTTGTAAAGCACTTTGCCTTGTGTTGAACGGTGCTATATAAATAAAGTAGCCTTGCCTTGCCTTGTTGACTCAAGCCTTCATAATGCCTTCGTGATTCCACCCAATGCAACAGTTGATGACAGGCAAATACTCTCTTTTACTTTGTGTTTGTTAGTGATTTGGCTGTCCCCACCATGTCCAAACGTGGGTCATCCAAGCATTCAAGGCACGGGGCGTTCCCGAGCCTGTGTGACCCCCCTCAGGGTCCTGGTATCCATGTTTACATGTTCTGGTCAAAGGAAGGGGAAAGATATTTGTCCCATACAGATGGAGAAGTCACAGCAGAAGACCTGTGCATCTCAGCTGCGGAGGCTGTAGGTAAGAGTGACCGAATACAGACATACAGACCAAAGTAAACGTTTATCTTCCTGTGGTATTTTATCCTGCTGGTGGCTAGTGTGTGTAACATCCCTGTATTATTCCCCAGGTATAACTCCTCTATGCCATGTGTTGTTTGCGCTGTACAATCCACAATCAAGCTGCTGGTACAGTCCAAACCACACGTTTACTCCAGAGAACTCCAGCCTTGTACTTCACTACTGTATGAGGTAGTGTGTTTTTATAGCACTGTTATACATGTACACACAGATGAAACATATTCACAATCTTTCTCTGCTTTCCTTGTATCTAGGTTCTACTTTCGGAACTGGCACGGACTCAGTGGGAAGGAGCCGAGTGTTTACCGTTATGCTCTCAGATCTGGGGCGGTTCAGGGGGGTTCTCCCTTGCTTGAAATCGCATCCTTACAATACCTGTTCTCCCAGGTTGGTAATTTTTGTGTATTATAGGAGTGCACAATTTTCACAGGTTCAACCTATTTAAGTACTTAACCTCTTTGCTTCTTCTGTCTCCAAAAGGCTAAATATGAATTTGTGAACGAAGTGGTGCAGGTGGAAGACGTGGACTCAGAGGAGAAGTTAAATCGCTTTGAAAATGAGAGCTTGGGGATGGCTGTGCTTCAACTCTCACATCAGGCAATGCAAACAGGCTGCTCCTTGCAAGATGTTACCCAAAAAATCAGGTAATTACTTTGGAAGGATTGAACATGGGGCAGTGAAGAAGTAACAACGACTTATTGCACGTTAATCTGTCAACCTCTATACTAAATGGTCTATATGAATTTGAATATGCTCTGATAACAGATATGTATTAGTCTTATTATAAATAGATTGTGTTTGTTGTACTGTTATATAAATCTAACTGTTATTGTAATCTAATTAAAGCACCTGATCCAGGTAACATTGAAATATAATTTTTTCTTTCAGCTTCCTACGATGCATTCCAAGATCTTTCGCCAAACACATTTCCAGAGTCAACTTCCTGACGAAAATCAGGATCCGTCGGGTGTTTGCAGAGTTTGTGCGGACCTTCCAGCAGCACACTGTTGATAAGGGGAGACTGGGCGCACAGGAAATCATGTACAAGTACATCTCTACTCTTGAACACTTGTCACCGAGTTTTGGAACAGAAACCTTCTCTGTATCCCAGCTGGAGCTTCGAAAGGACGGGGATGGAAGCAGCTCTTTCTCCAACACCACCCAAACAGAGGGTGCCTCAAAAGGCAGCTTTATAGATCCCGCCACACACGAGATAATGGTGTCAGGCACCATGGGGATTCAGTGGAGGAAAGTGTCTGGTCAGAAGGTTTGTTACAATGCAATTTCAAGCTTGGATGGTCTCATTCTGTGGCCGGTTGTGTATTCTCCCAGTGTGGACATTTTGTTGATTCAGTCTCTTTATCTAGGCACTGGCAAACACTTACCTCAGAAATGACTACATGAAGAAAACAAAACAGTCCGACCAACCGAACGCAAACACTCCCAACGAATGGACGTCCTTCTGTGATTTCGCTGAAATTACGCACATAGCCCTCACTGGAGATAATGTGTGCATTAGCACTCAGGACAACCACTGCATGGTGAGAGCACTTGTTTACCCTTTTATGTAAAGCTAAAATACATACATTTAATTGGTAAATGTGTTTGTGATGCATTAGTTTAATTGGTATTCTGAATATAAGATGTTCTCCTGATCAGATTGTTAAATCTTTAAAGCGTGAATGTCCTGTACTGTGTGCTAATTCTACCTGTTTATGGCTATAGGAGCTTTGAGAACGCTTCAGGGGTTTCATTATGTTTTGAATGCGTCTGTAGGAGGAATCTCTGATTGTAAGCTAGTGGTGTTTCTGTGCGTGTATGTAGGAGGTTCAGATGAACTCCAGCCAGGAGGCCCGTTCCTTCATCTCCCTGCTAGATGGATACAACCGGCTGACTGCATTCGCCCACCACTTTCTTTGTCATGAAGTGGCTCCCCCAAGGGTAGTGCTGAGTGTAGCAAATGGACTGCATGGACCTATGCAGTGAGTTTTATCCTCTTACACATGCACATACAGACACAGGCAGGATGTGGAGAAACACAGTGTGTTATATCGCAACTCTGCTGTGATTCCAGTGATGATTTTGTGCTGCTGAAGCTGAAAAAGGAGGCAGAGGAGGGAGCTTTCCTGGTACGCTGGAGTGCCCTCGACTATCACCGCATCATCCTAGCTGTCATGAAAAAAAATGAGGTAAGTCAACACCCACACTCCTCTCTGGAATAGATTGCTGTGCAGTGATTGTGGAAATGTTTGTGTTTATATGTACTTCTGGCTCACAGAATGGATCAAGGCCAAACCACAAGCAGTTTCGGATTCAGCTCAAGGGTTCCAAGTTCTGTCTGGAGGGCTGGGATCGAGAGTTCTCCAGTATGAAGGAGCTCACAGAAAGCCTCAAGACCTTTGTGCTCCAGTCTGGTTCGGACAGCTTTACTGTCAAGAAATGCTGTTTTCCAAAACAAGCAGGTTTGTGTCAATTGGGCTTTTCAATTATTGATCTGTTTTGCTGACTTATGCCCATGTCCCACTGTTTATTTTTAAAGATGTTCTGTCTTCACCTTAAAATCATAAATACATAATTTTGCTCTCACTTTCAGTGCTATTTATCGACCTTGTTTTGATGTGATGCAGAGTGTTGGAGATATCGACTATAGAGATTACTTATTTCTCTCAAATATTATCATATAACTACATGGAACTTGGCTTGTAGTGCTCAAAGTGCCATAACAAAAATTGAAATCCTGACCCAGTTACTGAAGATAATCCAGAGAACAAACAATGTTTCTCTACAGTGCTGAAGAAGGCCTAGTCATGGACAAGAGGCTTATGCTCATTCATTGGCGGCTGTAGTTCGGTGGGAGGAGAATAGTTCCTATAAAATATTTCAATGTCTGTGGGTTATCCTAAGTAACCAGCTCATTTAAAATATATTGCCAATACGTTTTTTCAATGAATCAAGCGTTATTCTGTCTCTTAAGGATGAGGTGTTGAACAGTGTCGTGTAAAGTAAAAGTTCTCCGTCAGCTACATAAAAGTAAGAACACCTGTCGTCGGTGAAACGCCCCTCCTTACTGCAGAACGTCTCATTATATGAGTTATAATGTTTTTTAGCGGACGTTGTCTGATTTATATAATCGTATGCGCGGGCCGCTAGTGTCTGTTGATCTCCAGGTTAACAGCAGCATGAGAATAACCTGCTGAAAGTGCCGATGCTCCATGGCGGAGGCTCCGCTAGAAATTGCCGGGATTTGCGTTTTTACCCCCTTAATGTCTGACCAATGGTCGAACAGCATTTCCGTGCACATGACTTGTGTTTAAAGTTTATAGTCCGTTGGAGTTTTGCCTGTTTGAATGCAAACCGAACCTTCTGAAAAATGAAACAATGTAACAAACTGTCGTCTGGTACACACCAGAAAACGGACTATTAGGTGTGAATGCACCCTTAAAGCACCACAAGACATTTTGTTTCATCATATTCAAGCGAAGATCTGTATGGTTGATAACACTATGCAACTCACACCAGAATGATCTAGATTGATAACTAGCAAGGGAGAAAAATATTTTTGTGGTAAACCATCCCTTTAACATAGGTTTATCTATGTTTGTGTGATGTAGAGCTCTCCAACCTTCTGGTGATGAGGCAAGGTGCTCGCACGGAGTCCTTGTTCCTGAACACAACTCAGCTGCGCTTCCACCAGATCAAGGACAGAGAGCTCGTACAGGTGACAAAACAAACTCTCCAACTACATATGACCATCGGTTCCACCGGACTAATGTACTTGTTCTCAGTTGTGTGACTGACCAGCAAATGTTGTTTACGATCAGGAACAACATTTGGGCCGCGGGACAAGAACTAACATCTACTCAGGACGTCTGCTGGTGCGAGGCGGGGGGGGAAATGATGAGGATGACGAGTTCAACAACAACTTTGCTGACCGCAAAGGAATCCCTGTGGTTCTCAAGATTCTGGACCAAAGTGATAAAGATATCGATATAGTAAGCCTTGTGATCTCTGAAAAAGGCCTCAATAATTACCAACACTCATGTATATTTTATAAGTAATCTTTACTCTCTCCCTTCTCTCTAAGGGTTTTTTAGAAACTGCGAGTCTCATGAGCCAGGTGTCCCACAGTCACCTGGTGTTTGTACATGGCGTGTCAGTCAAAGGATCTGAAAGTAAGAGCAACAACACTGTTCACCGTCACAAACTCAGGTTATACTTTTAGATGTGTGACTTCCTCGTTTGCTACTTCCTCGTCACACACATGGTTTGTGTTTTAGTCAAATGTATGATCCCTGTACCAAGTGACCCGTGACGCAAATGCAAATACACACTCGCCCTGTTCTGTTTTTAAAGAAGATTCTTGTTTACATGTATTTTGGGGATGTACTGGAACCTTCAACCTGTCAAACTTGTTTCTTCCTTAACAGATATCATGGTGGAAGAATTTGTGGAGTTTGGGCCTTTGGATGTTTTCCTTCGAAAGGAAAAGGCCTCTGTGACTCCTCAGTGGAAATTCATTGTTGCAAAACAGCTTGCCATTGCCCTCAATTATCTTGTGAGTGCAAACACTACTTTGGTTTTGAGTGCCACAGATTTTTATTCAATACATTTCACTTACATTGACCACAGCTAAGTGGTCATTAACGTGAATTGAGACTAATGTAATACAAGTGTGGTACAATTGATCTTTAGATCGTCTTAAGCTTTACAATCAGGTGCTAAAATATTTAGAATATATAAAATATTAACAGAAAGAGGGGAGTGGGGCTATTAAACCGGACGTCAAGTTTTGAGTCTGAGCTGCAGGAAGGAAATTATACTATCTTATTATCAAACAAAATGTAACGATAAGTGGTGCACATGAAGCTCATTTTTGCCTTAAGATTAACAACGATAATAGTTTATGTTTCACTTGTTTTCTTCGATATTTCGCATCACAAAAACACATTACCAGTACGTTTGTCATCCTTGTAGGAGACCAAACGGCTGTTCCATGGAAACGTCTGTGCTAAGAACATTCTGGTGGCAAGGCGAGGTCTCGAGCTTGGCACCTCTCCTTTTGTCAAGCTGAGCGACCCAGGAATTGCCCTGAGTGTCCTTTCAAGGGAAGGTCAGTACCAGGAATTCCCTTTTACTTGAACTCCTAATAAGCCTCACTTTCCAAGAAGGTCTCAGTCAGCTTCAAGACTTGTCTGTTTCTTTACTGTTCTGCCTTACTGATAAATCTGATTTCGGAAACAGGAAATGTCTACCAGACCATTTCCTCTGACTTGTGTCCTGTTCTCTTAAAGTTTTATCTCACAATGTGTTATTTAAGAATTCAATCAGTTAATCTCAAACTGCTCACATATGTTTTTCTGTAATTGTCCCTATTCTGCACTGTAGAGCGTCTTGAGCGTATCCCCTGGATTGCCCCCGAGTGTGTGGAAAGCGGCGCACCCATTGGAAATGTTGCTGACCAGTGGAGCTTTGGCGTTACCTTGCTGGAAATCTGCAACAACGGCGATCTTCCAATGAGTGGCAGCACATTGTCCGAGGTATTTCTCTTCCAACAGCCACAAGCTGTACCTGCCCTGTTGACTTCCATTTGTAACAATGTAACCCCCCCCCCACAACAGAAAGAACGCTTTTATCAACAAAAGGGCCGTTTAGCAGAACCATCCTCCCAGGAACTGGCTCGCTTCATCAGCATGTGTATGACCTACGAGCCAATGGAGAGGCCTTCGTTCCTCACTGTGCTCAGAGAGCTCACAGACATCATAATCAAAAGTGGGTCTTTACTAACTCACCTCTTAGTTTTTTTGTCAGTCTAATTTTGGTGATATATATATATATAATTTGTCTTGGTTTTGCCTGATCACAGATCCGGATATATCCCCCAGTGAAACTCTCCCTGACTCAGACCCGAGCGTGTTCCACAAACGCTACCTGAAAAAGATGAGGGACTTGGGAGAGGTAAGTTCCAATACCACATTACCTGTAGTATTTTTCTTCCTGTATGCTCGAGAATAATCCCCCTGCTCATTGCTCCGTCTGCAGGGACATTTTGGGAAGGTGACTCTCTACCAGTACGACCCGGCCAATGATGGGACAGGAGAGCGCGTGGCCGTGAAGGCTCTGAAACAAGAGAACAGTCAAGTGCTTGAAGGCTGGATGAAGGAGATCGACATCCTCAAGTCCCTCTATCACAGCAACATTGTCAAGTACAAAGGCTGTTGTACTGAACTCGGTGAGTCCTCAGCTGTCTTCGGACTGCTTCCTTTATGTTTTTTGAAATTAGAGATGCTTCTGTTATGACAACGTCAGTGAAAAAGTGACAATGCATAAGATTGCAATTCAATCCCATGCATGCTACTTAAAAAAAAAAATCAAAATCCTTGGCTTTTTCTGCTGGCCTTCTCCCCTGCTCATATGATAACTTTTTGTATGTGACATAAAATTAAATTTGCCACTACAAAACAGTTACAACAATTTGTTTGCATGTTGTCAATTAACGTTTTTTGAAAATAAAATGTTTAAATGCAAAGTCAAAGATAAAAAAAGTTGTATTAACCGCATTTCTATTTAAAATATAAATGAACACACACTGACTACATGTGGAAAGAAGTGCTTGATAACTACTCTGTTTCAGCTTACAGTGGTCAGCGGACAATTCAGGGAATAGATTTTTGTTCCTTGCTTTTTTTCTGTAGATATTGAAAATCTTTTCAAAATGCAACCTTGTCTCCCTTGTATGTCAATATTATAAACTTCATCTCACAGCGCACTGAGAATCACAGCCCCTTCAGCACTAGAGTAGGCAGCAGGTCATTCGTGCCTTTGATGGAGAATGAAGGATGAGTACTGATGCTTTGTACATTCTCAGGAGGACAGGTGGTGCAGCTTATAATGGAGTACCTTCCTCTGGGGAGCCTGAAGGAGTACCTTCCCAAATGTAATCTGGGAAGGCCTCACTCCCTTATGTTCGCTCATCAGATCTGCCAGGTGAGTGCAGACGTTTTGTGTTGTTTTTGCTAATCCAGATTTCCAAATTCATGTTAGTCTGTTCTATAGCGGGTGAGATACTTCTTAAAGGATGAGGCACAACAGTTTCCTTTTTAAAAACTTTGTTCATCAGTTTTTTTACACTGTTAAAGTGTGCAATCCTATTTTCATTGGATCCATCTTTCATTTATGTTGTCTACGTTCAAAGGGTATGGAGTACTTGCACTCCAAACGATACATCCATCGAGACCTCGCTGCCCGAAATGTCTTAGTGGAAAATGAGAGTTTGGTGAAGATTGGAGACTTTGGCCTGACCAAATACATCCCTGAAGGCGATATCTACTATCGTGTCCGTGAGGAAGGGGACAGTCCCGTGTTCTGGTAAGTTCACGCAGCACTTAAAATATGGATTCAATTATCTGTTCCATGATAACCACTCAACTGTGTTTTTTTCTGTATGCGTAGGTATGCCCTTGAGTGCTTGAAGGAAAATAAATTCTCTTTTGCGTCAGATGTTTGGTCCTTTGGCGTTACGTTGTATGAGATCCTGACCTGCTGTGTACATCGCCAAAGCCCGCAGGAGGTACATCATCACCGGCCTCTTATAACAAGCTCTAATCAAAATAAATTCCCATGTTAGACAATTACAGTCAATTTTGAATCCCTTTTGTAAGATGCACAATCTGCTCTGTTGTCTTTGTTTTGTAGAAGTTCAGGGAAATGACGCAAGACACCCGGGAACAGATGACTGTGGTGGTGCTCATAAAGCTGTTGGAGAAGCAGCACCGATTGCCTGCCCCCAAAAACTGTCCACATGAGGTAACATACTAATTAAACACTATTGACATTTTATTCAGTTTATGAGTAGACTGATATATTAAGAATGATTGTTTTTCAACCAACAGGTGAAGATTTTAATGGAGCAGTGTTGGGCTGCAGACTCAGCACAACGGCCATCATTCAAAACCCTCATCGAAAAGTTTGAGGCCATTCGCCAAACATACTGGCATTCCAATATAAAGCTTTCCTCGGCCCAGATTAGCTGAACAGGACTCTGAAGAACCAGCCTGTCCACATGGCATCCCTCTGCCACCATAGCCACATTACAGGCTAACCAGTTGTGTTTCCGCTGTGCAATGCCTGCTGCCTTCATTTACATAGATATCTTTACATTTATTTTTGTATAAAAGCAAACCGCTATCCTCTCATATGTGATATGTGACAAAGCGGTACTTAATCAGTGTGTTTGTTTTCCTGTCATTTGAGTTAACTTTCATCTCTCCTTCTCTTACATTAATAATAGGTTTGCATATATCACAGTAAGTATTAAGAATTCCTGTAAGGTTGTGAGATTTCTCTTTCATTTGATGTTTTTTAAATGTTTTGTCTGTTTAAACTTTCGTTTCATTATATATAAACCAAAAGAACAAATTCAAAATATAATGCACACTTCTTTTCATGACAGTCTATTAAAAACTGAAACTTATTTATCAAAAAGTGTAAATGAATGCTTTACATCTGTTACATGAAAAGTCATTGATCATAACCTAAGGGATGTCCTATAATTAACTTTTATATTCGAGACAGGTAACTGACCTGGGAAATATCCTGTATTATGTTCACCTTTTAAATGCATCCAATACCGTTGGCTGAACCAGACCAGTCAATCTGTTGGCAATCCTGCACCTGTGCTCTTGCTGCACAGCAACAAAAAATATCAACAGGAATAATGCTGCTCTGACATTGGACGATTTTTTTTACTGAATTGTTGGTATGAGCTGGCCAAATTATCCATGACAGACGCACACAGCTGTCCTGGCATGCAGAATATATTCATTTTAACAGGTGTTTGGATCTGGACAGACACAAATCCAATACAAATGAAAAGTTACAAAGGTTCGCTGTTTTGCCATTGGCTTTCTAACTTTGTAAAAGCGGAAATAAAGTGCAGAAAAGACCAAAGGCTAGTATGCGTAATGTACATTGTCTAGTAGTGTAAGTAATATTCCATAATGTACACACCATCGGCTGACACTCTGCATGCTATGGTACTGTTCCTCCTGGCAACCGTGGAAAAAAAGTGTCTTCCAATTACATTTTTTTGTGATAGGATTAAATAAACATTTTGCAATTTAGACTTTAATTAAACACATTTTGAATTGTACAGTATGTCCAATTTAGTGAACCTGAAGACCTTTTTGGTGAAAAGTCAGCCAAAAGATAAACTATGTAACATAGTATGCCTATAGATTGATACTAATACAGGAATACATTCACATAAGTAATTGATCTGAACATTGGTGTATCAGGGTGTCCGCGGTGTCTTAAAACGTAATACAAGTTGATAAATCAATTTAGCAAAAGTTAAGGCTATTAAAAAGTATTAAATGGCATTTTCCAAGGTATTACATTTTTGTAGCTTGTTTTCAATAAATATATTATCAATTGTCCAAAGAGGTTGTATTCTACAGTCTGCCTGAATGTAATCATTGCGTAGGTGTGTAGTGTGATTCTGTGTAGTTTATTTATGGCATCCCGTTGGATTTGCTGAACAGGACATCGCACGCTCACTGCTTGATAGTGCACGAAGGTCCGTTTTACGCCGGTTGTTAAACAACATCGTTATGGGGGAATGCAAGTTTGCATCTCTTGGGAACAATGCCTAAATCAAATACTACTTTCTAATGGTTTCTTTTTCTAATAAACCTTGCATTGGGTTGGTCACACAATTAATTCTCTTGTGCTTTGTTCTATCTGAATTATGATAAGGAGTTATCACAAGCTGTTTAGTTGTGCTATCTTACAATCAATACTGTATAGTAAATGTGAGGTAAAGTGTGTCGCCAATGTAACCGGTTGGAATTGGAAGTGGCGATGAGGTCTTAAAATGTATGGAAAGGGTCTTAAAAAAGGTCTTAAAATGTATTCAATTTGACTTCAGGATTCCTGCATATAGTTGGACACTAAACTAGTTTGGTTTTTGTTGTCAATGTACTGGGAAAAGCACTAAACTGGATTCCAGTCTGCACGGGGTTAGGGTCATCTTGACTTGTTTCATGGATGTGGTCTCCAATTGACCATACTCATAGGAACACACTTTGAATTCCTGAGGCAATTCTAATTTTTCATGGCACCACTTAATAAAAAAAATTAAAAAAGCAATAAAACAGACTTGCTACTCTTGGCCCACAGAGGGATATGTCTTTCCTGCTCATCCCTATCTGTCTATGTCTGTATCTGTCTGCTCATCTGAGCCTCCTGCAACTTTTCCCTCTACTTGGTGTGAAATCCTCATCTCTCATCATTTGAGAGCTCAAAATCTGAATCTCCCTCAACTATCTCGTACAGTAGAATATGTCTGCTTCAGTTCTGTTTCCTGCAACAACAAGTCATTAAGTACATGAAGACGGTCCTGATTTCCACTAGAAATGACATTTATAAAAGAGCTGTTATTTCAATAACATACACTATCTGACCTACACGTCCTCCTCAAAATGTTGTTGTTGGTATGCCTGCCATTTTGGATGAAAATAAAGAGGAACCTCCCAGCATTCAATTTTAACCAATGACATATCACTGGAAAGCCCAAGATGTCCTCTGTACAATGCAGCAGAGATTGGTAGAGTAGCTCAAAAACAGTAAAAGGATATGCATGAGAACAAAATGTCCACTACAGAGGACAATGGGCTGGGTCTCTGGGATGTGAGACCATAAGACTGACTGTTTGTTACAAGCCAACCAGCCCACTACCAGGGGACATCAAGAAAATATAGAATAATATGAATCAGCACAAGTTTAAATACAAAAAACAATATGGTAAGCATATCATTCAAAGCAGACAGTAAACTGCAACTACATGAAAGGTCTCCATATGGCTTTACGTGTTTATTAAGGGTTTTTTTTAAATTCAAGTTTCATTATATTAGGCCTATATTATGTTCTTTGACACTTAAAAATCTCCTGATGTAAGACTGTTAAAGAAGGATTTAAAGATTTTTATAGTCCAAAGTTGTATATCTGATTCATTATTGACATGCAAGACTGCTTATAAAAAGTAAACGTGTCATACACAGAGGTAGGTTCAATGTGCTGTAAAGATAAGTTAAAACAATACAATTTAAAGGCAATACAAAAGATTTATATATATATATATATAGTATAATAATAATAATTATTATTATTACTAATGTTTAAGGTCATGGTTTTGTACTCTATATCCTAAACTGCAATGATTGGCGCATTCCTCGGACATAAATGTGTGTTTTTTTCCTGTTTTTTTGTACCTAGGTAAAGTATGTGCATTTAAAGCGCAAGGTGAAGCCGTTTAAAGCCCACTGGCTTGTCTCTACTGAGAACTGCAGGATCTGCAGCATTCATGTCCAGTTTGAGTTAACGTGGCCCCGCCCCCTACCTCAGTTACGTCGTAGTCATGGAGAATGCGTCCTCCTCTCTTCCAATGAGAAGCGGCGCTGGGGCCATGTGTGTATTGTTTAAACTGCTCAAATCGGGCTGAGTTTTCAGACCGACAAAAACTTCCACCAAACAGAGTGATGGCGGCCGTTGTGTCTGTTAGCACAGCTGCCAGAGATGAGAGCACAGACACAGGTCTCAGTTTCGCCCCTCGTCCGCTTAACGATAACTACGACCTCCCTGTGGATGCGGGTCACGAAAGCTGGATGTCCGGAGGAGACCACCGGTATCATGAAAACGGCGGAGAGGACTCACCGTCGGACCGCGACTGTCAGCGGAGGGTCGACGAGGACCTGACATCACTGAGCTCCGAAGAGATAGAGAGCCGCTTAGAGAGAACTCGCCGGGAGTTTTACAACCGTAGAAAAATAATAATAAAGAATCTACCCTCCGACGTTAGCAATCAGGTAAGAGAAAAAAGTCCTGGAGGTTTCACTTATTGGATGACTGATTGATTGCTAACGTTAGCCTAGCTCCAAATTGCTTTGCCATGCTACCTATCTTAGCCGAGTAGCCATTTAACTCGTTAGCTGATTTTAGGTTTGAATAGTGCGATACTTTGTCATAATGAATCTGCAATTTGTTTAATTTAAAGGCAACACACCATAGCTTTTATTTGGTAGCCACATAGTATCATTATTGTTTTAATTCGGGGTTTGGGTTGTTAGGATTTCTGCCAGGTGGTCAGATAACTGTCAATAATGGTCATCTGTGGCCTGCATGACCTGCCACTCCTTCCTCGTAGGCAACAACTTGATAACGTTTTATATTTGGATTTTATTTTGACTATTTTAAACACCAAATCAAAACTGTCGTTGATTATCCTCCCCCACATGGCGGTTACAGGTGCAGTGGGACTTTATTCATCAGCCCATCTGTTGTTCAAGCTGGCGTTTGGTTGTATTGACCAGCCAGTGACTTAATCATGATGCCACATTTTTTTGGAACGTGCCTGACTCGTGGGGAGCGGTGGGCCTGCGGGCGGAACCATTGTTCACAGAGAGGGGGGGGGAGGGGGGAGAGCAGTGGGAGTTCGAGATGTCAGTTGCAATATAACAAAAGGTGGAAGGTGTAGAGACAAAACGTTACAGAAAATGCTAGATAGGATCGCCATTTGTTTGTGAAAGGTCAAAAGCAGCGAAGAACAAATTCTCATAGAACAATGAGTCAGTTGTTGACCTCTGACCCCTCCACAGGTGCAACTTGTTGCTAGTTTCCAAGTTAATTATGTGAATACTTATCTACAGTTAACCAATTTACAATAAAAAAAAATTCTTCTTTTAGTAAAATATTCTATGTGTGATTCCTTGGTTAAATGGTTTTATCAATTCAGATTTCTTAATGTCATTTTTGTTTTTTCTCATTCACAGGAGGTCCATGAGCTGTTGGGCAACTATGACTTGAAGTACTGCTTTGTGGATAAATACAAGGGCACAGGTTAGTTTAACTAACTAACTTGAATTAATAATAAATTAACTTGAACTAAATCCCTCAAATGTTACCCTAGTTGTTTGTTGCTGGTTTGTATTCAAGGTGTGATTGTAGTCTGTATACCAGCGGCCCCCTTCGGCTCTGTAACAAACCAATACAGGAGTGCCTTTATATTATATATTAGGTCTATGAGAAAATGATCCTACTTCTAACTTGATTTGTTACCTCGGTAAACATTTCTTTATTACTTTATGGTCTCAATTGGTAGAATTATCTTTAAAATATGATGTCCATTGTGATTGACGGGTCGTTACAGAGGTTTTGTCTGGATTTTGGTCTTAGAATTTTAATTTCACAGAAAGATTTCAGTTGCTAGCATTTCGGTTGTTGGTTCGGAATCTCGTGTCACTCCTGGTTGCAAAAAGACACAATATGGCAACAGCCAAAATGCCAAACAAAGTTATTTTCTTTTAATTTATGTATCTAAAAAAAATATTGTTTCATGTAAGAAATCCAGAAAAATAAGTGGCTTGTGAGAAATGGGTTCAATGGGAGATATGGAAAAATGTTATCACAATTGCTGTATACATCTCAATACTATGAATTGTTCTGTAAATTACAAAATAATTTTTTATAATAGCCCTACCATACTTTCACACATTTATTATTTTTCTTTCATTTGAAACTCTCATACAAACAAAACAATGTTCTAAAGTCATGTAACCAGAGTTCTTCCTCATCTCACCCTGCAGTTAACTTAATGTCTGCCCTCTTCATCCTTACCTTATAAGGCAGCAGGATTGGCAAGATCCAATCTGTGAATTTGATTGACATATGGTTGAACTCACTTGTCGCATCAACAGTTACTTATTTGTATGCATCAAGGAAACCAGATTCTGTGAATCAAAATGCAAAAATAATCAGTCATAAATTATCGTTAGGGGTATAAATTCATCTTGTATGCCCCAAAATGTGAGCTGCATCTTAAATCAGGGGAATTGCTTGTTTACAATGGTCTAATTTCAACAAAGATCAGGTTTTCTTTAGAAGCCTCAAAATCAATTTGTCAGGAAGATCTGACATTCAAGAGCACTTAAACAGCAAACTGCTCCTTAATGTCTGATAATAATGGGGCAGGAAATAGCATAAGCCAGATGGTAAACTCGGGGTATGTCTGCTATCTACCAAACTGCTGCGGCAGATAACCTTCACATTTAGGTGTGCTTTTGTAGAAAAATAGTTGGCTGGTGAAAAAGTTAGAAGAAGAATTGGGAGGGATGAAACGCTCTTTAATGGTCACACATGCAGAGCACACAGCACACACATTGACATTTTTTCTCTGCATTTAACCCATCCTATTACCAGGGTTGTTTCTCAATCTCGAGTACGCTTGCTTGGTAGCACATGTCTTCCGAGTCACTTGCTTCAGAAACGAGGCAAGAATACTTCCTGGCATTCGGAAAACAAAGAGTGGAACAGGCAATTTCTCCAAACGAAGTACGCCGGGCTAGAATTCCAAGTATGCTGGACATTGGAACAGCACTTCGGCGGCACTCGATGACGTAGTATGCTTGAAATAGTGCCTCTGGAGCAGCTTTACTCGCGATTGAGACACACCCCAGGAGTCTAGTACTAGGAGCAGTGGGCAGCTATTGTACAGCACCCGGGGAGCAGTGGGGGGTGTCCGGTGCCTTGCTCAAGGACACCACAGCAGGGCAGGAGGTGAACTGGGACCTCTCCAAGTAGCAGTCCACACTCCATATTTTAGGTCTGGTCGGATGGTTAGGCTAGAATACATTTTAATTTTAATTTGGCTTTCAGGCTGCAACATTTGTTGTCCTCCGCTTCTCTTTCAAAACATGGTTTACAGGATGTTTTTGTGACACTGAGCATCACACCATAGGGCTCTGTTGTACAAGAGTCTGTCAAATTGGTATACACTTTAAATTGGTGATGTCAATACTATAAACAGGGCTATATGTTTGTTTTTTAGGTTTGAACATAATCAGATAAAATGCCTTTTGATTCTTGTCAGCCATGATGGCTCCCTTTTGTAGTCTCAATAAGAGAAATGTTGCAGTGCCATGAAAGCATGTGGGTGGTAACATTCTGCCACCAGCGTTGTCTTTTATCACACCTGGAGGACTGTTATCACTAAGGCTGGCTCCCTGAGACCTGCTGTATATGAAGAATCTATTTGAATGCTGTCTGAACAAATATCACTGCCTCGCTTTTAACGTTTCCCTCTTTTCCCCTTAGCATTTGTGACACTTCTCAATGGGGAACAGGCGCAGTGTGCTATCAAAGACTTCCACCAGCATGTGCTACGGGACCGGGAGATCTCTGTGCAGCTGCAGCCAACAGACGCTCTGCTGTGCATCGCCAACCTGCCCCGCGCCTTCACCCAGCAGCAGTTTGAGGAGTTGGTGCGGCCCTTTGGTAACCTGGAGCGCTGCTTCCTGGTGTACAGCGCCTCCACGGGCCACTCCAAGGGCTACGGCTTTGTGGAGTACATGAAGAAGGACTCTGCTGCCAGGGCCAAGTCGGAGCTGTTGGGAAAGCAGCTGGGCTCCCGCATGCTGTACGTCCACTGGACTGAAGTGGGCTCCCTCACATATCCACTGCTGAACTCCAAGTGTCTGTGTGTGGACCGCCTGCCCCCCAGCCTGCTGACAGCCCAAGACCTCCGAAATGCCCTGGCTGACACCCATGCGCCAGTCTTCTGCCAGGTCAGATTCAACACAAATAAACACTCCGGGGCTGCAACTAACTTTTCTTTCAACATAGATTAAACTGCCATACATTTTCAAAAGTAGTAGAGTAATAATTTGATCTATAAAATGTCAGAATATTAGGACATCCCAGTTTCTCAAAGTCAGATGTGATGTCTTTCTTTAATGAATGCTTATTGGTGATTATTTATCTGTTGATCGCTCAAGGATTAGTTGCAGCTCTAAAACACTGGTACAAATTGATATGATTTTAGAAAAATGATTTATCCAGATTGTATTTCACACCACAGATAATGAATGTTATACTAGTTTGGATCAGCCATTTTATGTTCCCAGATTGGATTTGAATTGAATGTGCTGACATGTGTATATGAGTTGTAGCCATGCCACTGAAGGTGTACGGATGGCAAGATTCTATTTTTGTGTATATACAAATGAAATGTTTTGGTGTTTCTGTACCCTTTCACCTTTACCCCAGTTTTCCTGTGGCCACTCAAAGTTTCTATAGCAGTGAGCATTGCTGGTTTCTATGGTGATGACCACCTGACTCCCCCAGGTGGTGTCATTCAGCGGGCTCTTCTGGAAAGAGAGAGCGTCGGCCTTTTTAACACGCATAGTTGTGCTTTCTGCTGGTTTCAGGGTTTTTAAGGATTGTGGCAAATGCAGTGATTTAAGGGAAATGTTTTAACAAAATGCAAATAGGCTTTAGTTTATGAACTATTTCAACTTGGTGTTTTCAAATCATGAGGCTACATTTGTTGCCTGATTAATGTAAGGCCTGTAAAAGGAAATTCACAACTTATATTTTAGAAAAGCAACTCTGTAAGAAACTTGTTTTGTGTACAATGTTGAGGAACAGTTAAATATAAGTATTATGAGAGGTTGCCTTATAAAACCTGTAGTTGCTATCAAATTGCCTGAATGCCACCAATTAGGGGAGTCACTAGATCCGTTTTGATAAAAAGATTCTGGTTCATTTCCGTTTCACAGGACATTCCCTACCTAAATGTGCTTTTAGATATATGTGCAGCACATATGGGTGAAGGTCAAAAACCACAAGCCTAGCAGTCAGTGTTGTACCGGTGTTGCTGTATTCGTTAGAAACAAATTGCCTTTTAAGATATGAGAATAACCGTTTTTTTTCTCCACACAGTTGGCTCAGGGACAAGATGGAAGTTTTCGTCGGTTTGCAGTCTTAGAGTTTCCCTCATCTGAGATGTCAGAGGAGGCGCAGCGCCTGGCTGACGGCAGGCTGCTCGGCGGGACAAACATCAGGGTGTCCTTCTGTGCCCCTGGGCCTCCTGGAAGAAGCATGTTGGCTGCTCTGATCGCTGCCCAAACCATGGTATTTAAAGAGCCTGTGACACGATTTTCCCCCCATCATCCAAACCCATCAATTTGAGTAAATATTGTCCCCTTGAAAACCGTTACTGAACTGATTTTGGATATTTGTACTTTGATAACCATTAATCTGCCCTTCAATGTTGACCATTTCCTGGATCTTCTCGGGGATTCTTCAAGTCCCGCCAAATTATGGGTGACGTCAATGCGGGCACAGCGCTCCAGCTGCACCGTTCAGGATCCCAGCATCTGCATGTAAACGCACGATGGCGCACACAGCAGCAAGCTCAGACAGCGATGACAGTTTAATTTTGAACGTGTCTGAGAGCTCATATGAGGCTGAAGGATCGGTTTATTTTGTATCTGTTAGAAGTTTAGGAATTAGGTGCGTCAATATGGGCGATCATACGTTCATGTAGCCAGTGGTGGACTGGGACTAAAAATCAGCCCGGGACTCTCGACCGGCCCACTTCGGTACCACTAGTAAATTGTCAACGGGGGGAGTGGGGGATGTGCTAGTGACTTATCCGACCGGCCCACTTCGGTACCGGCCCATCGGGATTCGTCCCGATGGCCAGTCCGCCACTGCACCCAGCCCAGCCCACGTAAACTGTCAACGGGGGGAGCCTCGCTGCGGGGAAACGGTGGACCTAGTGTCCCGATCGGAGTGGGAATAATAATAATAATAATCCGTGCATTTTATCCATTAATTTCCCCACATTGTGGTAAAAAAAACACCACGTTTAATCCATGTTGGTGTACTACAACTACAAAAAGCATCGCTTTGTTTTCTCATCAGGAATTCAGCAGCTCTCACTACCGATTTTTAATCCTAATTTAATCATCATCTTCACCACGATCATTTATGTTTATGTTCGCCGAATTGACATGAAAGCACTGACAAATATGAATATACTGTAGTCAACTTCATTAAAACGTTATTAAATGTGCCTAAAACTCAGTAATTCACCATTTCTACGCATGACAACACACTTTGTCCGTGTTTGGCTCTCTCGCCGCACAGTGAAGCGTTCCCGCATTGACGTCACTTCCGGCTTCCCCCAAAACTTCAAAATGAGTCGAAGGAATTTCCC